GTAACTCCTTAATTAGTGTTACCACGTTTAGTCAGGATGGTTTTGAATTCCTTTGATCCATGAATATTATGTTTATGTGATATTGTCATTTATTTATTATAAAAAGTGTCCCACATAACTGTTGTCATGATTTTTGAGCTATTTCTGATTCTCTGACGAAAATATATTTGAAATAAAAGTTAACGAGTCTTAAATGAACTATAAATTTATAATCTATATTTTTTAATTTATATTTCTACAGCTTATATTAAAACGAGTTTAACGATCTACTAAAATGTCATCTTAAAATTTGAATTCAATCAAGGGAAGCTATCACAGCAAAGTGTATGATTAGGATTAATATTTTATATTAGTTGATTAAATGACATTATTTTGAATATTAATTGAGTATTAATAATTATTAGAAATAAAGGTATTGTTTTTTGGTTAATAAATGAAACTACTACATGTATTTTAAATACTTTTATTGCAACAAATCATGATAACTTTGATATGATCTAATGTATAAATATTTTGAAATAGAATAAATATTATTTAATTAAATATTATTTATACTTGTTTGTAGTTGATAACGATAATAAATTTATGAGCACAATGGTATCTTTAACTTTTCATAAGATAGAGTTCTTACATATATTGTACAAGTACAGTATAAAAGTGAAATTTCGTTATTTGATTTTCATATCCATTTCGTAAGATAATAAAGCTATTCATTTTTTAATAATATTAATGAAGATTGCAATGAAAATATAAATGACATTAAATGTTAATTTGTTTTAGGATTTTATTTTAGTTCAGATGAACCTACAGCATTGATTCAAGCAGAAGGCGGACCTTGTGCAGTTATAGCACCAGTCCAAGCTTTTATTTTAAAGCAGTTATTGTCAGAGGCTGATATTTCAACTTGGAGAAGTATAAGTTCACATAAATGTTATCAACTTCTTGTGCGAGCAACAGTTGAAATTCTAAAACAGGCAGCAGGAGAAAAACTTCCAAAGTTTTCCATTGTATACATGAATTGTAAATTTCCAAATTCAGAAAATGAAGATACATGTAGATTGTTTGAAAAAGTGTCTGAAATCCATAAGGAGGAGGAGGAGGAAATGAATGTGGAAAGAAAAAAAAGTGACAAAAGGAATGAAAGAACGTTACCTAAGGAAATAAATGAGGATTCTAAGGATGTAAATTCTGATGATTTTCATTCTCATTTGAGGTAAGATGATTTCTGTTATTCTTGATAGAATAAATATAGTTATTTTATAGAATATATTTAATTAAGCCTTTAAGTAATATATTTCTTAGCTATTAATAGTTAATTTTTCACTATTGGAAAGCGAAAGATTTATTATCTAAAGAGCTATCACCATTAAATTTCACTTCTTCATGTTATTAATATTATATTAATATTAAGTTCACAAGAAAAGTTTTTTAAGTGGTGTGTTAATATTTTAATGGATTTGAGTACTGTAGTGATTTGTATCAATGATTTTCAAGTTTTTATTGCCAATGTTTTTACAAATGAGCTGCTGACAGATCAAATCAATTATGTCTGCTTTTGAACTTTTTGAAACTTTTACGTCAATGTCTTTGGTCAATGCTTACCTTTCTGTATCTAAAATAAATCTCCTTAGTGATTGTTTTGACCTCATGAAATGGTAAAAACTTTTTTGCGCATGGAATGATACCAAATTTACCTCAAAAGTCAAAGTGATTAAAGCCTGTAACTTAATGTGATGAGCTCAAGTCGAGCTTGAACAAACTAGTGCTTTGTCGTTTTTATCGATTGTATACTTGTTGTGTATTATTATGCGATAATTAATTCAATGATTCGAGTCAAAGCCTGAAACAAAGTCATACGATTTCCTTTACGAATTTCTCTAGTTACTGTTTTGTAGACTTGGCAAATGAACGCTTTAAATATTGATAATAATATACTGTGTGAACGCCATCGCCGATTTTCATAAAATTGACAACTATTCTAGAAATTGATGTTTTGTACAACTTCTTTCTCAGTGAACCTGCCAAAATGCTACCCCCTCACCAATTTTCATGAATTTGAAGCAAGTTCAGGGTATGATTTGAACAACCTTCTTATACACATGTTAGCGGTGGTCCTTTTTACTTTCCAAAATAATTGAAAAAAACTATTACCACCACTATATTGAATTCTATATCTGAG